GTGAGTGGATGTCACTTGATGACCCTTCCTTATAAATATTTTCCTATTGGATAGTCTCTGTCCCTCCATACCTTAATGATTCTCCTCTTTTGTTTTTTTTTGGGGGGGTGGAGGTGGGAGGCTGAAAATCAGATGTTCTTGGCATCTACTTATTTTTTAAAAAATATTATCACTTTTGGACCATAGCACAAAAGTGGAAACTAAAATGAAAATATTAAGTGAAAAAGTGAAAATCTGAGAATAAAAACAAAGAGGGAAGGGAGGAGAGAGTGAAGAGGATGGGGAAAATGCAGATTAGATATCAGCTGATCCTGCATTCTGCTTGTTGTTTTTTTTTATCTGCTTAATGTTTTTATCAACTTTTGCAACACAGCACAAAAGCGACAAAAAACAAGCAAAAATAAAATTGGTAAGCACCGAAGTGAAAACCTGAAGGTTTGAGTTATCAGAAAGGGAGCTGAGAGTGATGAAGGCAGTGAAAGGGCAGGGCAGAGATACACTTTCATTCTGTTTTTTTTAAAATCATTTTTGAACCATTGAACAAAAGGAAAAGGGGGGATAAAAGGGGGGAACCACTGCAGCCAAACTGTGAAGGTTTGAGAAAGATGGACAGGTAAAGCAAGGAGGGAACTGAGGAAAGAGTAAAACAGGTGCAGAGAGGGCAGAGGAGACAGACAAAAGAGGACAGTGATCTGTGTTGGGAGAGAGATCTTAAAGAACAATTTTGGATGTCTGCAGACAGCCAGTACTGAGAAGACCCAGGACGTCCAAGAACAAATACCCTCCCCATGTATGGATGCCAATGCCAGGATGATCTATCCAAAACTGCAACAAAAGCCATAAGAATGGCCCAGAACAAAGCCAGAAGGATGGGGGGCAAGAACAACACAGTGTGGATGAACCCTATACTGCTCTAGGCACAGCAAAGTGTGTAGTAATCTCACAGTTCACACATTCAGTAGCTATGCTGGCCATAGGATTCTGGGAGATGTAGTCCGTCTCCGAAATAGACCCCAAGTGCTGAGCACAGAAAATGCTACTTGAGCCTGAAAGGATGTGAGCTAGCAACTCCTCCTAGACTAATTCGGTAAATGTCTTTAAAGTGTGTTCATTATCTCCACCATTGCCATGTATAGTCGTGGCAAAATACAACGGCAGCAACCCCAGCTAAAGGTATTTTCTTGGGTTAAAATTCCCAAGAAGACAGCTGTGTTGCACCAAAAGTAACAAAGGATGCTGTGATATTTTGAAGACTACCAACTTTTTATTTGGCAGAAGCTTTTGCAGACTGCAGCCAACTACTCAGAAGTGGGCAGTGATCTATATAAGTTTATGCCAAGTGCTCGTAAAAGTTAAATCTAGGTGTAAGCCCCTATTAATCTGTGAAGAAATATTTGAGACTAATTCATTTCTTACATACTTTGTTAATGCTGGGGGGGGGGAGAAGAGACCCCAATATAAACCTATTCCTGAACATAAAAAATCCATATAGAAATTGCAATGTAGGTAATGAAAAAAATACAAATCCAGCACTACTTGTGAGAAGACTGATCATTTTGAAATGCTAGTTTAGCAGGTTACTTTTGACCAAAACTTAAATTGACCTAGATGACTGGTACATATGAAGAAAGAAATTCCTCTGAATATTGTATGTGCACAGCACTTACTCCTTCCTCACTGAATCATCCCTTGCCACAGAATTTGCTGAAGAGCCAAGTTTCCTGGTGAAAGAAAGGACCTTCTTTTAGATTCTTGTTCCAATTTTTGAACAATTGACTTTCTCAAGTAACTTTCTAGAACTCTGGAGGTGAGAATATTAAAACAATAGTCAAAGAGAAAAAGCAAGCAAGCAGCATTCCAGATCACATACGGCAGTAACCATGACAGATTTCACTTTCTTCACATGCCTAACCACTATCTTATTGGCCAAAATCTTTTTTTTAAATTCAGCAAACAGCCATCACTTGGGGAAAAAAAGGCACAAAAATCATTCAAAGCCAATATGCATGCATACAGATTAGCTAAATGAATCAAGACTTGTGAAGCCCACTAACTGTATGTTACCCTGCCTGCCATTTCTCTAAAGAAGAAAACTGGCTTCTTCTCTCATAAGAATTCCCCACATCTATGACAAATAGATTCTACACTGCCTGGATGAGTGTTCTCCAATTTGGTGGTACTCTCAGATGAATCCCATCATCCATGACCATGGTGGCTGGTGCTGTTGGGGAGTGTTGTCGAAAGCATCAAGAAGGCTCTAGATTGCGAAGGCTGGTCAGAATTATGGAGACAGAATAAGTGATGCAGGCCACTTGTCTCCTCCTGCTACTCACCGATGAGCTTTTTTGGGTTTTGTTTTATAATTTTAGCATAGCATCTTTAACTAGGGGCAGGAGACCAGATCTCACATAAACGTACAGAAGCCTAATTCTGCATTGATGATTTATTTATTTAAGATTCATTTAAAATATTTTAACCCATCTATCTCCTTAAAAAGACCCAAGATGGCATACAACAATTAAAAGACAGTATTTAAGTTAGTAATGGTGAGTATACAGTACTATACTAAAAGAATCAAAGAATACAATTCCAAGAAAACATAAGCAATAGCAAAACACATTCAGTGCAGTAAGGTACAAGAATACATTTAAAAAAAATAAAGCACCACTCAGCAGCAATTTACTTAGAGAAAGTTTTCCTGAAGAGAAAGGTATTTGCCTGCTTACAGAAGGACAGTAAGTACAGAACCTAACCTCATGTGGGAGGGAGTTCCAGAATCTGGGAGCAGCAACACAGAAGGCCCTCTCCCATGTTCCCACAAAATACACCTGTGAAGGTGATGGGACCAAGAGGAAGGGCCTCTTCTGATGATCTTAACACTCGAGCAGGCTCATAAAAGGAAATGCAGTCCTTGAGATAGCTTGGGTCCAAGCTGTTTAGTACTTTCTAGGTTAGAACCAGAACTTTGAATTCTGCCTAGAAACTGATTAGCAGCCTGTGAAGCTGCTGTAATGGGGGGTGGGGTTGTGTGATCCCAGTATCGAGCCCCAGTTAGCCATCTGGCTGCAGCGTTCTAGACCCACTGATGTTTCCTGACACTTTCCCACATAGAGTGTGTTACAGTAGTCCAGCCAGGATGTAACTAAGGCATGTGTCACTGTGGCCAAATCAGACCTCTCCAGGAATGGGAACTACTAGTACAGTACACTAGTTTTAATTGTGCAAATTACTCCTGGCCACAGTTGAAACCTGGACATCCAACTTAGAAATGAATCCAGGAGTACTTCCAGGCTGTGCACCTGGGGTTTCAGGAGGGTATGTAACTCCGTCCAGCACAGGCTGCATCCCTGATCTGCCTTTTAACTAACTGGGAGATGTTCCCTGATCTGCCTTTTAACTAACTGGGAGCACCTCTGTCTTGTCTGGATTAAAGTTTATTCACCATCTAGTTCATTACAAACCCTGCACACTCTTTTAGAGCTGAAACAGCTCCCTCTGATTTAGATGGCAAGGAGAGATAGTTGGGTGTCATCCACATACTGGTGACAGCAAACCCCAAAACTCAGACCCATCTATCACAGCAGTTTCATGTAGATGTTAAATAACATAGGAGACAAAACAGAACCCTAAGGGACCCCAGTGGCCACGGTGTCAAAGAGGAATCCCCAGCAACACCTTCTGAGTTGTCTCCTCCAGGAAGGACCACAGCCATTGTAAAAGTAGTGCCTCCAAATCGCATCCCAGAGAAGATGGGCCAGAAGAACACCATGGTCAGTGGTATCGAAAGCTGCTTACAAGTCCAGTAGAACCAACAGGGAAATACTCCCTTTGATAAAACCATGTGACAAAAACCATAGTGTGGAGTCAGTGGCTGAGATCCTCCTGCCTAATGTAATAAATCATAACTACACAGTAGGTCCATTGAATCAATGGGATTTGGTGAGTCAAGCTTCTCCATCGGTTCCATTGATTCAGTGGGCTTACTCTAGTTGCAACTTACTACGCTAAGCCATGAAAGTTCAGCTATAGAATGACAAAGTTTTTTGTTTCATGGGAAAGAGGAAGAATTCAGTCAGGATTCAACACAAGGGGGTACATTCCTACATATATACTCCTGTGCAGGTGTTGAGGGATAGTCTAAGTTTCATGGGACTTACAGCAGCTGCACACATTAAAAATGCTGATATTTTCTGAAGCAAAATCATCACACACAGAGAACACACACCGTTCTAAACAACAGAATGTGGATGCACACACAATGCTAGCAATACGACAAGTGTTGCAGCACTCGCAGAACTAGTGCAAGCAGCGCCTAAACCTCTGAGTTATGAAAGCGCTTCCACAAGGGCTTGCAGAAGCAGAATCAAAAATGCTAGCTGTGACACTTGGGCTAGCAGGAAGCTCGCATTTCTGCAAGCGCCGGGACATTTTGCCCAAGTCCTGTAGAAAGACATCATTGGATACGACCAATGTACGGCAAACCTAAACAGAGTTCCCGTAGTGCCATTGTCGCGCTCAGCAACCTCAAGGGTGAGAGGGTGGATGTTTCTGATCCTAAATAAGTAAGACGAGCGCAGCTTCGGTCCAAACCATCCAGAGAAAGGTTCCCCCTCTCCAGTCCTCCCCCGCCCAAGTCGGCTGTTTTAAGAGGACTCCCAGCCTCACATCTAAGCCGCCTCTCTTCGTCTCGTCTCGAGGCCGGGGAAACCAACTTCGTCGGAAGCGCGCACCTTTCAAAAGCGCCGAGGCGCCGCGCGGGCTGCTTCTGGCGTCGGCTGGAGACCGCGGTGCGCGCAGCAGGCAGCCAATCAGGCGACCCCCCCCCCCGCACGAGCATCACGACAAGGGATGTGAGCGCGCGCGCGCTCGGCGAGGTAGAGGCAGAAAGGGGCTGCCGAGGCACACAAGATCCCGCCCTGCCCTCGGTCACTACAGGACGGTGACTATTGCAGCTGCGGCTGTTTGCGGACGGGGCGAAGAACTGCCGAGACGGCACCTACCATCCGCTGCTTCTTGTTTTCAGACATGCCTGTGGCTCGCGCGACCCGGGAGCGGCGGCTCTCTTAGCGGTGGGAAAGCGCGAGGAGGAGGAGGAGGAGGAGGGGAGGAGGAATAATAGTAGTAGTAGTAGAAGAAGAAGAAGGAGAGGGCTAGCGGCTCCCTCCCGTTGGACCAGCTGGCTGCTGAGAGGCTCCAAGGGAAGGGGCTAGGTATAGGAGCTGAGGAGACACGTAGCACTTTACCGCCCCGCCTTCCCAACCTTCGGCTCGGAGCACTCCTCCTCTGGCTCCACCCCTTCGTCACAAATGGGAAGAGAGGCGCTTTTTTCCCCTTTCTTTTCCTCTTTTTTTTTTCTTTTTTTGAGGGAAAGGGGTACTCGAGGACGCGGCGGCAGAAAGACAAGGAGGAAAGAGTCCTTCTGTCCCGGCGCGCCTGCGCCCTCCCCGCCCGTTCTCTCTCCCCCCCCCATTCGTGAGCTCCCACCAGGGAAGGGTGGGATTGGGGGCTTCCTCTTTGTTTTGCCAGGGAGTCGTGGTTGTTTAGTCGTGTCCGACTGGGTGGTGCTAAGATGGAGTAGCCGGACCCACGAAGGCGAGCGGGGGTTCCTCGGGCACCAGCTTTCGTGGCGTCCCGCCCACTTCGGACCTGCATTCCCAGCTCCGTGGGCTGGGCTGCGCGGAAACCTTGGTGCCGAATCATACTTGTTAGTCTTTGCGGTCCCACGGGGCCACTTGTTGTTCTTTCTTTCTAAATTCGCCCTCAGGCACCCCGGTTGGTAGGGGGGAAAATGTGGCTTCACCCACATCGTTCTTGAGTTAATGGTTAGGCAGAGTGGCAGAGGATGAAAGCAAAGTTAAACTCCGTGGCCTATATTTTTTTTAGTCTTGCGTGGAATTATTGAGGCTGTCATCGCTATTAAAAATACTATTAAGCAGATATTTCTCCCTATGTGCCTATTTTCCCCCTGAGCCTTTAGCTTGGGTAAATGTGTGAGAGAGCAAAGCAAATAAATCCAAATGATAATCTTGGTGTATTTCCAGTTTTATACAAATTGCCTTTCTGTTCTGCATTTTAAGTCCACTCTGTCCCCTCCTCTCTGAACGATGTGCGTGTGTTGATGAGTTTGACAGATCAGGGTGATACATTTGTTGAAGGTGGTCTGTGAAAACTATGCTCTTAAATATGTGTTCACCCTTAAGAGATGGAGAGGTCTGCATTTTCTGTGCATTAGTGAAAGGCAGGGAGGCAGATGGGGCAGTGCCTTCCCAGTGGTCCTTCTTCCTCCCGTTATGAAATTCTATTTCTCTCCTCATTTTCCTCCCATTATAGCCCCTTCAGCTTCTTAAAATGTAACTGAGGTTTTTTTTTAAGTTGGTGAATATTCTTGCCTTGTGTGTATGATCTAACTACTTTGAGTTTGTTTGTTTTGCACTGATCAACAGTGTGGCAGGTTGTGATGGTACAGGATTTGATGACATGTTTGTGGATGTTCCTCTCTTTCCTTACATCTCATCTTTCCCCTCTTCTCATTCCTTGCAGTTGGACTTCCAGAGGTTTATGGCATACCATCTCTTCTAACTGCTGTCCTGTTCTCTGCAATATACACTTAATGCTTGCACTTAGTACTGTACATTGATGACAATTGAAAGGACAATCTTTATTTCATAAAGCATGGACTGTGTAGATTATGAAATACCCACTTACACATTTGTGACCTGCTGAGAGCAAGTCCATGTTTAACTTCTGCTGCTGCTGCTTCTTACCATAGCTATGGGGAGTACTGGCTGTCTTCCAGGCTGTGATTTAGTTTTGGTTGCCACACTGCTTGATAAACAAAGGGAGAGATGAACTAGTCAACTCCGGGAGGCAGTGGAAGATAGGAGGGCCTGGCGTGCTCTGGTCCATGGGGTCACGAAGAGTCAGACATGACTAAACGACTAAACGACAAACTAGCAGCTTCCAGAATACTGCTCCTACCTACCTACCCGAACACAGAGATATGTTTGTGTTGTCATTTCTTTCTTGGACCATGTCAGTCCATGCATGTTCTTTAATTGGATGGTTGGCTCTTTCCATCTGCTCTCATCATGCAATTTTATAGTGACAGCAGCTCACTGAGCCATGATAGTTGCTTTAAAAATTTCCCTCTGGTTACTTGCTTTCTGCACTATTGTCCATGCAATAGAAGTATAGTTCCGGCTTGGTGGGGTGGGGGGTGGGAATGCGTGGGCATTGAAAGAAGAGGGGTCAGCTAAGGACATGACAAGAAGCAGGCCTGCTTAGGGGTAAGTATGGTGAAATGTAGTTTGGATTGGTGACAGTGATAGTAATTTGGTGACAGATGGGGAATGACCAGAGAGGCAGGTTTAGAAGAAGCTAGGGTCTCTCTTTGAAAAGATACCTGAATAGAATATGGGCAGTGGTGCTCATGAAGAAACTGACCCACCAGGTTACATTATACAGAGGGGAAATTAAACGAGATAATTTTATAAAGATATGGCACCCTTTGTTGTTCTCCAATACTAAATAAAAAAACAGAATAAACAAAGTGGGCAATGGGCTGGTCTGCTGGTCAGTTTAAGTGGAGTCAGTCTTAAAAATGTGATTATGAGCCATGGAAGAGACTATTTAAAAAAATTAAAAGATAACATTAATACTCTACATATATATGTATGTATCTATATGTATGTGTGTATGAATGTACAAGGGTCTATAAACAAAAAAACAATAAACGAAATGGGCAATGGGCTGGACTGCTGGTCAGTTTAAGTGGAGTCAGTCAGTCTTAAAAATGTGATGATGAGCCATGGAAGAGACTATTTTAAAAAATAAAGAGATAACTTTAATACTCTACATATATATGTATGTATGTATGTGTATGTGTGTGTGTATGAATGTACAAGGGTCTATAAATAAGTTCACTATTATTGTGTTACAATTTTTATCATCCTAGTATGCTATTTTGAACAGATTGTCAATAAAATTTAAAAATTGTGGGGGAGGGAGTTTAGAAGAAGCTACAAAGATGAACCAAGAAGGTGCTATGAAAATTTCCCATGGGATGCCTTTTTGACAGCAACAGAAGATGGAACAATGTGAGTTATATCTAGTGTATTTATAAAGTGGTCTTTACAACATAGTACAATGGGAGCTACTTGTAACTGTAAAATGATGAAGGAATTTGGATGCTGGAAGAAACAAGATTACCCCATACACCCAGAAAGGTGATTACAAGAAGATGGGAAACGAAAAGGAAAGATGGTACCAGGCACATTGGTATACAAGGTTCCTTCAAAGATGGGCATATCCATGCTTGCGCTTCTCCCTGCCTCCGCGCAACTGTTTTCCCCCTCCATGCAGCGATTGTGTTAGGTTCTGGTCACGATGGAACCCTGTGCACCAGGGGCGGGCAGAGTCATGCACACGCACAGAAGCACCAGCAGAGCTGAAAGTTAGTGGGTACGTTATTTGTGTTAAAAAGTGGGAAAGAACCCTGTGCGCCGGGGGTGGGCAGAGTCGTGCACACGCACAGAAGCACCAGCAGAGCTGAAAGTTAGTGGGTACGTTATTTGTGTTAAAAAGTGGGAACGCAAATCATGATAGATTGGGGAAGGCCACCTAAGAACTTTTCAGCTGGAGGAGGAAAAGGAAGGAAAGATCTTATTGCTGTGCACGTTTAAAATATATATCAAGAAGTGCGCTAGCTGCAGCTTCTCTAGATTGTGGTGGCTGTCACTGGTGTACCTTTGGCACCAGTAACTCCACGAGTAGTTTTATAGCAGAGTGGCAAATATACAGCTGTCTCAGCCCTGAATTCATGGTATGTATGTGGCAGTCGGGGGTATAACATGATGCTGCCTAAATAACTTTGTATGCTGTAGATGCCCTGATATGTTAGAACTAGAAAAAAATTGGCTCCAAGGCTTTTGTATATATTAAAGCTGCATATGTATTATAGTCACAATCCTTATTTACTGCAATAATATTATTATGTACTTTTATGTAACTGGAAATGTTTGGCACCTTGCCTTTCTTGTTGTCATATGTGTAAATAGTGTTATGATGGGTAGGATAAGCAAATGTGTGCCATGTGGTACACTGAACTAAAGTAGTACCTTTGTACAGATCAGGCAATTACACTATCATACTTTTAATGTAATATATAGAGTATGGTAAACTCGTTACCTTACCGGTATTATAGATAAGGAAATTTCCAACCTAGCCTTGAATAGCTAATCTGTGGGAAGGTATCATTTCACAAAATGGCCATTACCTCATAAACAGTGTATGGCCTCATAAAATATATGTGCACATCTGGAACATGGCCAAAAAGGTTATTTGCTTTGAATAATGGCTGCTTAACCTTCCACACAGAGGAGCAGGTTGGCTGGCTACCTACCCTCAATAATGTCTTGAGTTCTAGAGACCAGCTTCCCTTTCTTGTCATTCAAAAGTCAAGGATTTCATAAAGGAACTCACTTGCACTTTCCCATCCTCTGTCAAAAACAGGAGTGATAACGTATGAAATGCATTATCCTTTTTGGTTATGCTTCTGCTTTCTATTAATTCAGTGGTATGCTGCTGAAAATTATCACCATAGCAGCAATGAAAGAAAAGCCACATTGCATTTTCACTTGAAAGCAGGGTGCACAAGGACCATGGGTTAATTGTACTTTCAGAAGTCTTCTTGGAGCAAAAGGGACCATGGGTCTTGTTTTAGTAGGTTAATTGTACTTTCAGAAGTCTTCTTGGAGCAAAATTGTCTATAAAACAAGGTGCATGCTTTCTTCCTATCTTGTTCTAAACTATTTAGGAAATAACTTGGGTGATCTTCCTGACCATAATAATCACACACAGGAAAGCCAAGAAAAATTGTGCACAGCCAAACCTGATAAGCTAAATATTCACCAGGAACCAAAATGTGTTCTCATAGCAGATGTGATGTTTCATGTGGTCCATGAGACAGTACTGTGTAATCTGTACCATAATGTCTACCCAACACTAGGTAAGGAAATGGTGCAAATCCACCAGGCTGTTCAGATTTACAAGACTCCAAGTGTTCTGATAGTATGTTGATAGAGAGTCGTGCAAAAAGACTTTGTGAGTCAATTCTGAGTCAATTCTTTCCATTTTCATGAGTGATGAATATAATGCCCTGACCGCTGCTGTTGCAGGTTTCCTATCTGCAATTCTGAAATTGTCCTCTGCTTCTCGCTCCTAATTTGTGAAATTTATGTAATTTTGCTTTTCCTATTTTGCTTGTGTTGTTGTAATTTGTAAATGCCATTA